ACATCATGCCATATCACGCTACATTTTTCACATCTATCTAGCAATATGATAAAAAAGCAATACATATCAATGTTAAGCCTATCGGATACTTACGAAGTCCTTTAGGCCGTGTGACTACTCGTTATCGATATTTGTACCAAACCAGCTAGTTGACTATCAAAGCTATTATATGTCGCAATGTGAATAAACCAGTACTCTATATCGCTATACCACAAAGGGAAACCAAAATTTCAATACCTCACGGGAGCTGAGGAGCACCCCTACCAAATCAATACCTCACGGGAGCTGAGGAGCGCCCCTACTATTTAATACCTCACGGGAGCTGAAGAGCGCCCCTACTATTTAATACCTCACGGGAGCTGAGGAGCACCCCTACCAAATCAATACCTCACGGGAGCTGAGGAGCATCCCTATCAAACTAATACCTCACAGGAGCTGGCGAGCCCCTCTATCAGTCAACAACGCACGGGAGCTGAGGAGCGCCCCTACTATTTAATACCTCACGGGAGCCGAGGAGCACCCCTACCAAATCAATACCTCACGGGAGCTGAGGAGCGCCCCTACGATTTAATACCTCACGGGAGCTGAGGAGCACCCCTACTGAATCAATACCTCACGGGAGCTGAGGAGCACCCCTACCAAATCAATACCTCACGGGAGCTGAGGAGCGCCCCTACTATTTAATACCTCACGGGAGCTGAAGAACGCCCCTACTATTTAATACCTCACGGGAGCTGAGGAGCACCCCTACCAAATCAATACCTCACGGGAGCTGAGGAGCATCCCTATCAAACTAATACCTCACAGGAGCTGGCGAGCCCCTCTATCAGTCAACAACGCACGGGAGCTGACGAGCGCCCCTACTATTTAATACCTCACGGGAGCTGAGCAGCACCCCTACCAAATCAATACCTCACGGGAGCTGAGGAGTACCCCTACTATTTAATACCTCACGGGAGCTGAGGAGCGCCCCAACCAATCACAACCTCACAGGAGCTGGCGAGCCCCTCTATCATTCAATAACGCATAAGAGATAACGAGCGCCCCTACCAGTAAATATCTAACTGGAGCTGGCAAGCGTTAAATAAATGTAGCAGAAGATGATTGATAGGCATCAGAGAAAACCGTCGACGCTGTCGAGCATAAAAGAAATACAATAAAGTGAATATTAGAAAATTACTCGCGTTGGCGAACGCTATATAAAAACGTAAATTTTCCATCAGCAGCAAAGATGATCAAAGAAACAGAAGTTCTCGTTATCGAAAATCTTATACAAACGCACTAAATCATTCGCTATCCTAACATCATCCTCAAAACATATCCTATTTCAAGGACCCTAACACAACCATCATGATACTTTTAGAAAATGTGGTGTCCTCATGAGCACTTTGTATAACTCTTTATACAAAGAGATATACAAAGGGGGGCAACTGTAGACACCACATTTTGTCCGGAGCAACTATCCTACTCAAAATTCGGAAGAATATTCCATTTAAAAAGCAAAAAGAGAACCCAAGCGAAAGTTTAGATAAGGTTGGTTGAGATTAGCGGTGGCGAATCAATAAATACCAACGATTTCCAAGTCTTTCTTTCTATTCATTTCGAATATTTGTACTAGGTAGGATTAGCAGTAGCTAATGGCTACCAAATTCGCTTTATTTAGAATAGCAATAGTATGCCGTCACGACTTATACCGGTATTATTGTTAACGATTGGTGATATAGGTCTGAAATTGGTTGAATGGGGTATTGGTCACGATTCATAACTAAGAATTATTTACTTAGAAGTTGGGATATTGGTCACGATTGTAGTTAACGAATTGGTTTGAAATAATCAATTGAATGATTGAGTAATACATACAATGATCATCTAATTCTAAAGGCAAGGACATAAATAAACAAATGTGTAATTACAAATTACAATCTGTGACATTTAAGATACACCTTGTAATTATACAATTAAAAAAAAAAAAAAAATTCTGCTTTTGGTGGCACCAATCAGAATTAGAGGCTTAGCCTTTTGAGGCTATTTGGGCCTCCTTAGGTCATCATTTTGGGCCAGACCAGAGACCTGCAAAGAAAAAAGAAGTGTTAGAAGGGCATCCCAAAACAAAAACCCACAATCCAGGTCCATATCTCAGCCCAATTAACTCTGGTCAACCCGGGTCAACTCGGGTCGACCGGGTTAGCTCTGGCCGACCCGGTCAACCAAACCCATCATCCTTATCTTATCTACAAGAACAGCAGAACCGCCGAACAGCAGAGTAGTAGAGTAGTAGGGTAGCAGAAATTACTGCCATCTCAAAAAGAGGAATTCGGCCACCTCCTCCAAAGAACCAACACCAAATTGCCAACACAAAAGTTGGTTCAGACAACCACCTCAAGAGCAAAGGAGGAGCAGCCAGCACACAATAATGAACAGTAAAAAGTGATCATATATAAGGGGGTTTTCTTACCCCAAACAGAGGCAGGGGAGAATTTTGGGAGAAAGAGCAGAGGAAAAAGAACGAAAGCACTAAAAAGACAGACAGGGCATTAAACACAAAAGGGCAGACAAGAAACACTAAAGGGCAGACAAGAAGCACTAAGAAGACAACAAGAGGCCATCGCCATCAAACACCAAACGACAAAGAAGACAGGTTGGTGTTTCCTCATCTCAGCAATCGCACAAGCATATATTCATCCATACATCCATGTAGAGATGGAAACTCAACCATGATTATATAATGATGTCCTTATTTTATAATCGATAGATGTATGAAATAGTCCTTCATAAAATTCGACGGTTTTGATGTGTATTGTCTTTGTGCTCAGTTTCAAATCAAAGTAGCTTTGAGAAATTTTGACTGTGATAATTGTCTGTCTCTTTGCTCCGTTCATATTTCATTACATGCTATGTTAGGCAGCTTCTTAGCTATCACTAGCGTGCCATGAATCCTATTGGATCGTTTCAAGTTTTTCTAGCGAGCATAATTCATTTTAAGTTGCTAGCTAAACTTAGTTCTCTAATCAGCTAGGTTAGTCCACCAGCTCTTTCACACACAAATAACATTAGCAACCCAAAGCGTAGTAAAGATGATCTAACAATCCATTCAAAAACACAAAAGAATTCAAAACAGACCCTTGGGAGAGTATTTTAAAATACCTCTTTTTGTGTTTAAGGGCACCCCTCTTTCGACCCAATTACCAACTTTTTGGTAATTACAAACTTCTCTTTTTTTAGTTGTTATATTTTCGCACGCCTAACACCATAAAAGCCCTGATGCTATTGAAAATTTCAGATTTTACCAACTCATACCAGTTTTTTAATCAATCATATAACCAAATCCCAATTTAGAAGAAAGCTTCCCACCAATGTGGTGGTCATAAGCAGTGGCTTTGACCTCATATTATGCTAGGATCATTATAGACACTAGAAACTAATAAAGCAAGCTTTCGTTTTCAACAAATCCAAAACCAAATATTAAAGCCGAATGAGCCCAACAGGGGTACGAACCAAAACCCTGTTTTCTTAACACCACAGGAATTAATAGATAAAATCCTAGCCACAATAACCAATCCATTAGTCATGAGTTAGGAAGAGTATCACCTATTGGTCTCTTTAAATCGTAGGGATCTGTAAAAAAAAGAAGAACCCTAGATCAGAAATCCAAAAATAATGTTAATAAAATTACCCAGAATAGCGAAAATAGAAAATAATAATAACCTACCCAAAACCAGACCCTCGCCGTCGGCTCTGGCGCTGGCCGCGCCGCCGGCGACCCCATTTCCATCTCTCCTCTCGGCGAGAACCAAAAAAACAACACAAAAATTACTATCACAACCAAAAAACCACCTGTGTGACGTCGTCACACCACCGCCGGTCTTCGCCCTCCTTCACCCCTCGTCCAACACCAAGAACCCAAACAAAAATCAAGATTAAAATCACGTCTTATGTAAAAAAATTAGATCTAAGCGTGCATGTTTAAGAGAAACTCACCGAGAGAGTAGGAGGAGGTAGATCAAAAAAAATCCCCTCGGTTTGGGACGTTTTCTCCAGAAATGAAAAAACAGAAAATTAGTAAATTTGGAACAAAAATAAAAAAAAAACAGAAAATAAAAAAGGGTCATGCATGTCACGGCTTCACCTAGATCGAGAGTCTTCTGGTAATTTTCGAGTGACCGACGGCGGTATCCCCGCCTGTTGCTGCTGTAGTTGGCGGCGAGACCCGATGCTCGTCTCCTCTTCCGCTCGCGCAAATAAAGAACAAAAAAACATCAGAAACCTTTCGATTTTCACAAAAAAAAAAACGAAAAAATACAACATGCAAGGATAGTATCTTACTCAAATCGATTTTCTTTTTAATCCGGTGAGCGGGGTCGTTTCTCGCGTTCATCAAGTCGAGAGGGAGAGAGCCGAGAGAGAAGAGGCGGCGGTTTCGATTTGGGGGCTAGGGTTTCGGGCGGCTAGGTTTCTCTGGAGAAGATGAGGACGAGAGGGAGAAAGGCTAGGTTGTTTTTTTTCTCTGGGAGCGAAGAAGAGAGGAGAAGAATCGAGAAGGAAAAATGAGAGGGAGATGAGAGAGAGGGCGGCCGCCGCTTAGGGTTAGAGCAGATTAGGGTTTTGCTAAGAGAAGGTTATATACCCTATTATTTGAAATGGCAAAAATGCCCCTTAGGGTTTCCTCAATATTACCCCTCCCTACCACCGTGTTTTCGTTCATTTACCAAGATATCCTTCTTCATTTCAGTTCCAAAACGAAAAAACACCAAAATTAAGGCTCTTACCGAGTTTCGAACTCGTGTTGTGTGGCACGCACGTGAATTAATAGCGGCAGTCATACCAGTTGGGCTGCCGGCCCATCGTGTGTTAAATTAACCATCCCGCTTAAGTTTATTTGTTTATAGTTCTTAATACGAAATGGCAAATGCGGATTAAGTTTATCTCGTTACTTTTCCAATACGAGTCAAGCCTCTCCCTAATAACTTAAATTATTATATTCTCTTTTCATAATTTCATAGTAATCAAATTAAATTTTATTAACATAAATTATAATACGAAATCACGATCAGTGGAACGTGATGAAAATGTCACAATTAAACTATCAAAGTTCAAACGAACTACGTGGACTTTGATCTCGTCTAACGGGTACGTAGGCAGCCTATAAGGTTCGAGTCCAACTAACAAATTAATTCAATCCTTTAATTTTACGTCAGTGGACGTATAATTTAATTACAACTAACACGATTTAGTTTCTTTAATGGTCCAGTAGGACCCTAAAATATTACTAAAATACACCCAACTCGTACAAAAAAACTTATCGACTTAAGTAGTACCGATTTAGGGCGTCGTGGGGTGTGATTTCACTTCCCCACACGTAACCGTACTCCCGAACCCAGAACTTCATTTTCGCAGACCATATCTCGGTTCTGACCCTAAGGTTACAGCCGATCCTAAGAGTGTTCGATCTACTCCAAGTAAGATCGATGGCGACTCCCAAAAAATGCCGACGCGACGACATTCGGACCCCCCCGGACGGGACGGTTGCGACACCCTCCTTACCACGGAACACTACTGAACCGCGCAGCATGGTGATCACGGAGGTGCTCACCTCAAAGTTGTTGGCTGGGACCTGAGGGTGCTGAATGGGTGACCTCATGTCCGCAGCCCTAGCGGTCCAGTAGGAGCCCATGGTCTGCTCCTCGGGGATCACAGCATGGTTCCCTGGTTCAGCCATCTCTTCTTCTTCCTCCTCTAACTGCAGCTGTGATAGCGCCTCCTCCGCAGCCAGTCGCGCCTTTAGAGCCCGCTTGAAGTTTCTGCAGGTTCGTTCAAGCTCCTGGTCTAGTGGTAGTAGATCTCCCGACTGGCTACGGGTCATGCACTACCTGCACACAATCAGCAGAAACAACCCGTGAAGGCACACAGGTGGAAGAAATAAAAAGCAGAAAATAAAAGCTAGAGTAACAAATTCTCACGTTTCCCCAATAACCTAGAGGCTCCCCGGCAACGGCGCCAAAAACTTGACACGCCAAAACACAACACCAATCTGCGACCAAGTGTAATCGCAGACCGGGAATGCAGTAACAGGCAAGTTATATTATCAACCCGGGGTCTAGATCTACTGCTTACTCAGTGAGTCTCTGTTATCTAGCCAACTAGAGTAAGTGATTGTTGTTTAAACTAAAAGCAGAAATAAAGCAGGAAATTATTCGGTTTTCTTAAGCAGGAAAGAGTCACTCGGGAATGAATCCCCCTAGCTCCTTAGTTAGGTTTCAATTGCAATTTACCCTGGGTTGATTTACTGTTGATTAGACTGCGGAAGATCCGGCAGTAGCTTGGAATCTCTTAAGCTGACCAAGCCCTCTCAGTCTAACTACCCGGCAGACGACTAGTCTTCACCGGGATAGAAAGCTGAAGCAGTAAGAACAGAAATTCACTACTGGAATTAGATTCCAGTACAGAGCAGTAAAATGGCTAACTCTCGTATAACCAGTCTCCTACTATCGAATGATGAGACTCTAGCAACCTAATCAGATTCTATCTATCTCAGATTGCAGCAGGAATCAGGAAAAGTTGATCAGACTTCAATTGACTCAATAAACATGCATCATTCGATTATAATCAAACAGTAATATCATCCCAAGTCATTACAATCAATCCCCTAACACATAGAACTAGGGTTCTTCATCCCCAAGTGAGAGAGAGGTTCTACTCCATAGAGAGAGAAAAGAAAACAGTAATCGGAGTAGTCATACTCATAATGATGAGGAAAATCTGCTCCGGGATGATGATTTCCACTCCTAGGACGATCTCCAAGCTTGAATTGATGAAATCCAGCTCCAAGATGGCTTCTAGGGTGAGTTCTTCGCACTTTCTCTCTCTAAAACTCTGTTTTTGCTCAAGAAATTCGATCTCTCCTTCCTTGGCTCGATTCTGGCCTCAAAAACCCGACTCTGGGCGAATTACGGGCTGAATTACGGCCGTAATCACGTCCTGCCCGTAATTCGCCCCAAAACGCACGTTTCAATTAAGCTGAAGGAGGAGAAGATACGCCCGTAATTTCACAATTACCGCCAGTAATTTGTGAATTACGGTCGTAATTCTTGGGAGTCTTGCCCGTAATTTTATCACCGAGAGGAAATTCTGGGGAAAAGGCTCGGCAATTGTTTTACGGGCATGCCCTGACCAATTACGGTCGTAATTTGGCAGGGGCTGCCCGTAATTCGTTCTGTGATTCGCCATCTGACCTCCGAATGACCTGAAACTTGCGCCTATGCACCTCTGTACTTGCTAGGACCTGAAATATGGCAAAACAACACAACCTAGCGTAAAATAGGCCAAGCAACAATCAATTCGAGCCAAAATGGACAAGAAATCCGAGTGAAAACACGTGCAAATACGATGCTATCAGTCATCCAACTAAAAGGAGCGCAATTATACCTAGCTCAAAGGCATAAAAGAAAGGCACTACGTGGGAGGCAATCCATGTCTAACGTCAAACTTAATGATCTTAAACAAAAATACTATTGAGGAGACAACCCGGATTTCTTTCTTTTTGTTTTGATTACCTGCCTGATGACCTCTACACGTGGGAAGAATCAACTCAAGTCTTCATAGACAAGGACTTCCCATTATGGAAAGATCACACGTTGACGTGTTGAATCCTAGAATTTATGCAAGGGGAGGCAGAACCTCTCTATGAAGCGTGGCAACGGTACCAGCAGTGCATCAATGAACACATTGACCATGGATTCTACCCCCCAACTCGTACACTCGTTTGCGCATGGGATGAAATACAAATCAAAATAATTCATACATTCTATTTTTTGGAGTAATATATGGAAGGCTCCTAAGAATCAAACCTTAGAGAAGTGCACATATGTTGAAGAAGTATCTCGTATGAGGGGAATGGATGGGACCAGTGGCAACAGCTCCTGCCCAAAAAGGACTGAGATTCAAAGAAAAACCATTGCCTCCCCGATACAGCCAACAAAGCCACTGTTACCAGATTCGCTAGTAGCTATTCATCACTAGAGATATAGACAACTAGAAACCCACTCCGGCAAGCGCCCAACGTCTTGAGTGTTCTCTTCTCCAAATGACCCGAGACCAACTAGCTTCAGGTATGCTTCATCTTCCACTGTGTGAACTGGGTCTTACTAAAGAGAGGAACATGAATTCAAATGCTGTAAACTGGGTCTTATTAATCGGACGTCTTGAGTTTGGTCGTTTCTTAATTGCAAATTGCTTTAGATTGGTAGTTCCTGAGGTTTCTAGTTGATTTAGTTTTAGTTTGGTAAAGAAACACTCATGATTCTTAATAGACACTCTAAATACGTGGATGATTTGAGAATTGTAAATTTCTACTGCTTCATTCCCATAGCTTTTCTAGACATTGCCTATTGCTTCTCATTGATTTGGAAGCTTTAATCCATAGATCCATTGGATACATAGCAACCCAATACCTACTAAGTACTAACAGCAACACATACAGATTCATAATGTGTTCTTTGATGCTTTCTGAATGTGAATGTTTGAATGATTGCTTGTTGTTTGCTTGGTTTTTCTAGGGAAATATGGCTTCAAAAATGAATGATGATAGTCTATCAATGAATCACGAGAGTAGTAATCAAAACCATCCTAGTGTGTCTTCTAGTCGTATGGTATGGTCTTCTGGGGAGCAGTGGTCTGATGTGTTGAAGGAATATGATCGAGTTGTAATTAGTGGGCTGAGAAAAGCTTAATGCAAATACTGCCATAAAAAGCTTGCGGCTGAATCCACCTCTAGAACTTTCCATTTGCGCAATCATTTGTTTAAATGTCCAGTAAAAAATGCTGATCCAGTCATGGTTGGTGGACTTTTGGGTAGTAAGAAAAGGAAAATTGGTACTGGAAGTTCGAGTCCTGTTGTTTCTTACCAAGAAACTAGTAGAAGGGAGCTTGCGTATATGACTATTCTTCATGAATTTTGACTCCCACGAAACCACACCACAAATTAATCCCAACTAGAGTCCAAGTTTTTAAACTCTAGCCGGGTGCAGTACAGAGCAAGTATTTAAATTGTCAACCCGGGTCGGTCCATGTACCCCTACTTTGATCGCTTAAGTTGTTATCTAGCAAGCAACTTTAGGGTTTAGGTTTATTACAACTACAAACTAACCAAGCAAAGAAAGGTAAATAAAGGAAAATTCTAACTAAGGGAGCTTCACTGAGGAGTTTCTTCCCCCTAACTAGCTACCAAGACTCGTTGGATTGGAATGATTGCTATGAGCAAGGTAACCGCGAACCGTAGAGGGATGCATATATGGTCGGAGACCACAATCTCAATTGCTAAACCGAGTTGAAAAATATAGGCCGTGTAACTCGACCCTCTCGGTTTAGGCAATCGATAGTTGACTTACTCCCTCACACAACTCAAAGGTTGGACGGCTTAATCGCGATTGAACGATTTGCTTAATTCAACAATGAGGGTTGCCCCAAATTAACCTAGTTAGGTGGCTTAAAAAGCTTAAGGAAAACCAACTCGATTGAGTCTCCCATGGAAGGGGGATTTTCCTCTCTAAGCTAGGTTAAGGTGGCTAATAAGATTGCTAGCACCAACATGCACAAACCTAAGAGTGTTAAGCACAATTATGCACAATCCTTAGGTTGCTAGGCACCAAAATGCACAAACCTAAGAGTGTTAAGCACAATTATGCACAATCCTTAGGTTGCTAAGCACCAAAATGCACAAACCTAAGGATGCTACGCACAAAACATGCACAACCCTTAGATTGCTAAGCACAAGCATGCACAATCAACATGAATAATACCTCAATCATTGTATTAAACAATACCCAATGACAATCATTCAATCTAAACAAGTAAGTATTAGTTAGGGATATACAAGACCCAAGAGAAAAGAGTGAGTTTCTAGAGAGAGAGAGAGATTACAAATTTGAGCTCAAGATCTTCTTCTTCTTCTAGGCTTGAATCTTCCACCCAAGCCTCCAATGATGCCCCAAGATCAGTCTATCACTCACTCTCTCTCTCTCTCTCTCTCTCTCTCTCTCTCACTAGAACTTCCTTTTGGTGTTTAGGTTGAAACCCTAGAGAAAGAAAGTGTTTCTTCTCCCCAAAAACAAGCTCTCCTCCTCTCTCTCCTCGTTGTTGTCTTCATATTTGCCTGAAAGTGATCAGTTCACGGACGCGTTGGCCAGTTCACGACTGTGAAAACCTAAACGCGTCCATGAATTGAGTCGTCTCCAAAATGCACCGCTTTGCTTCCTGGGTTCACGGTCAATGGCCCTAGTTCACGGTCTTAGAGACCGTGAACTCGCCTGGCGTCAATAACTTCGGATTTGGCCCTGGACGCCTTGATGTTCACGGCCCATGCCTCCTCTTCATGGTCTTAGAAGACCCTGAACTCCCTTGTCCAACCGTGAACTACGGCTGTTTCTTGGACGCCTTCACTTCACTGTTACGAGGCAATTGTCACGGTGACTTCGGATTTTTCTTCCGTTTTGCACTTTTTGACCTCCAATTATACCAAAATTCGTCCTCGACCCTTCCACACATGCTAGGACCTGAAATGTATCAAAACAAGCACAAGCTAGCGTAAAATATATCGAGGAACAATTGAATACTAAGCTAAACGAATAAGAAATGAGAGGGTAAAGTGTGTACATTTGGGCCCGAATCATGCCCCCACACTTAGACGTTTGCTTGTCACCAAGCAAACCAAGTACAAAACAAGGTAAGCTTCCAACTTCTTTTTCAACACAATTTTTGGGGCATGTCATAGGGCACAAAACGAATGAATCACAATGGTTATTTGACACCGACCTATGGAAAAAATAAAGTAATCTTGGGAACCACCACAAACGACATTCAACTATATTAAGATTGTGCAAAAGAAGAGTTCTCACATTATTCATCAACCAACACACAACATGCCTCGACGACTCACTAATCATAGTTACTCATGCATGAAGATCACATCATAGGAACGAACGATCGAGCAACCTAGGTCCTGACCGGGGTAAAAGAAATGAACAAAACGTGCTGAATGAATCACTCACTCTCGACCAATGGGGTAAGGACCATTTGATGCAAAAAATGTGCATAATCACACTCAATCCTAACGTCCCTTCACCACGACGGTAACCTCTGAATGTTAGAGTTCACAAGATGGGTGTCGTTGCTAGCTTGTCCAGAGGTCTTAGACACATGTTCAAATGACTGGCTAGGGTCTAGGACATGGGGAAAGGCTTTTTGGGTGGTGGCAAACATAGCACAAGGTTCCACATTTCCATCCTAAAACGACAAAAGGTTCTAAGGTTTCGATTACAACCCTCTCCTTTACTCAATGGCAACTAGCATCGGTCAAAAACCACACTTCCCTAGATTCCAATCCACAACCAATCACCAAACCATTCTCAACAATCTTTCTTGCTACATTTACTATTCAATTTCAAGCACAAGAGTGTGGTAGGCAAACAACATGTAAGTGTTCCTAAAGCTTACATGCTAAGCAACACTTTTAAGAGCATGTTCAACATTTATTATATTTGTGGTGGCCACTCTCTTTTTTTCTTTGCCCTCTTATTGAACTCTTTTTTTTTTCTTTTTTTCTTTTCTTATCTTTTCTTTGGGGGCTAAAGAGAGCTATAAACATGCCACATTTTTTAACTTAAGGAACCATGCTCACTTTGAAAAACTACCTCCACACTCAATTCACCTCTTAGCAAAACCATACACAATTGCGTCCAAATAGTGACTTCGGACTTTCTTCGGTTTTTGCACTTTTTTTACCTCCAATTATCCCAAAATTCATCCTCGACCCTTCCACACATGCTAGGACCTGAAATGTATCAAAACAAGCACAACCTAGCGTGAAATATGTCGAGGAATGATGAAATACTAAGCTAAACGAATAAGAAATGAGGGGTAAAATGTGTACATTTGGGCCCGAATCAAATTTCCTCTATCGGTTGTCGATTATGTTGGGATTAGGAGGTTTGCGTATTCTATTCAACCGTTGTTTCAAATGGTTTGTAGAAATACAATCAAGAGTGATATTTTAAAGATATTAAAAAAGGGAAAGATGAAGTAATGCATGAGTTAGAAAAAGTCCGCAGTAGGGTGGCGATTACCACTGATATGTGGACTTCGAATAACAGGAAAAGAGGGTTCATGGTAGTAACTGGCCACTTTATTGATGAAGCTTGGGTCCTTCAGAGTAAGATTTTGAGTTTTATCCACGTTCCTTCTCCACATACCAAGGATGTTCTATGTGTTGTATTATTGAGTTCTATGACGGAATGGAACATTGACAGAAACATTTCAATAGTGACGGTGGATAATTGCAGTACTAATGATGCTATGATTAGAGCTCTTTTAGAAAAATTGCAAGAAGATATGTTGTTGCTAAATGGTTCTATATTTCATATGCGATGTGCTGCTCACATTCTCAACCTAATCGTGCAAGATGGGTTGTCTATCATTGAGGAATTGAGGAATGCATTTGGAGAATTCGTGATAGTGTTGTGTATTGGACTTCATCTGTTAATAGAAGACAAAGTTTCAATGATGTGTTAGGCAGACTTACAAATATTGATTGTTCAAGAGAGTAAAGCTTGATTGTAAGACTCATTGGAACTCTACGTATCTTATGCTATCAACTACTTTGATATATAAGGATGTCTTTGATCGTTTGATTGTTAGAGATTCAAATTATGTATGTTTTCCAAGTGAAGAGGAATGGGATATGGCATCTGAATTATGTGTGAAGATAGAGTTGTTTCATGAAGCTACAAAGACATTTTCAGGAACTACTTACCCCACGGATAACACATTTTTCCCTAAGGTCTATGAGATTAAAATATCTCTAAACGAGTGGCAGTTGAGTCCAAATGTAACTATTGAAACCATGGCTGAAGATATGTTGGATAAATTCAATAGGTATTGGGAGGTTATCCATGGAACTTTGGTTGTTGCAGCTATATTGGATCCTAGGTTCAAGATGAAGCTATTAGAGTGGGCCTTTTCCCAAGATTTATGTTGGCACATCTACCTTTCATTTTAATAGGATTCGAGACTTTTGTTATGATCTTATGAGTGAGTACAAGACTACAGAACCTAGCATGGATTCTTCTTCTTCTTCACCGCCACATCAACATGCAAGTTCTGGGTTTCTTGCCAGCTTTGATTCTTATGTTGGTAGTACTAGATTTAATTGGAATGTTAAAGAAGAGTTTGACAAATACATGCGAGATGCTGTGATCCCAAGAAGTGAAGAGTTTGACATTTTATCTTGGTGGAAGAACCATGGTCTACAATATCCAACCTTAAGGTTGATTGCTAAGGACATTCTGGCCATTCCAGTGTCAACAGTTGTCTCGGAATCTACATTTACACAAGTGGAAGATTATTGAATCCTCATCGTAGCCGCCTTGATGACACGAATATGGAGGCTTTTATGTGCACCCAGAACTGGCTTAGGAATGAACTTCATGGTAATAGAAAAGGATAAGCTTATGATAATGCTGTTGTTTCTAATTCAATTGTGTTTTTATGTTCGTGTCAGTTGTTGTTGAGTTGATTGAGTATAGTGTGTTCATATATTTGCATTAATCATCATGGACAAGTGGAAATGTGGTGGGAGTCTTGTTGTGAAGAGAGTCAATGAATGTGAAGAGAGTAGGTGAATGCTTGATTGATCATGGTAGCTTTGCAGATGTTCGTAATGAATGAAACCATGTCGGGTACACTCTGGCAGCTTTTGTCGTTAGATTTGTATGAATGAAACCAATGCATACGTCCTGAAAATTTTGCAGGTGTAGCCATTTTCTCTCCTGATGTTGATGGTTTGACTAAAACCATATTGTATGAGAATGATGGCGGTGATGATGAAAAAGTTATGGAATATGAAGACTGAGAAGGAATCTGGGAGCTTGTTTAAGAACTTCAATCATGAAGTTGTTCCTTCGCAGAGAATGAGACAGAATCATGAAGTTATGCACTTTTCATGACAGCAGACAGCTAGCTATAGTTCTTCTTTAAGACTTACTCGAATTTCAGTAGTAATGAAGTTATGTTTGATTTGCTATTTGTTGGGTTCCTCTGTAATACTCTGTCTTTCAGTAGTGTGTGTCTATCTTCCAGTAGTGTGTTTTTCAGTAGTGTGTCTCTATACTAAACTCTCTTCTCAGTATAGCAGCGCCTCTTGGAGCTGTACCACTTGTATTGGCAGATGATGCTATTTGTTGGGTTCCTCTGTATAAAGTGCATAGACGCTTAATAGAGACTTGCCTTCCCATGCTTGCAGTGAATCAAAATGGGATGGTTCCTTACATCTGAGGCAACCAACCAACCATATCAGTGTTATGAAATTTTACAGTGACGAATGATTGAACAGACTTGGAGGAGTGATGAGAGTACCCATTAAGATCTTCAAAGCGTCAATGATGGTACCTTCAGGCATAGGGACAGGAGGCTCCTGGAAATTAATGGAGCAAAAGGGTATCAATATCATTCATTAAGCAATGGAATCATCAATGGAGGAGAAGGATTAAAGGTAAAAGTTGAAATGAATTTACTGTCTTCCCGTTGATTCCACACTGGAATAGCTTGATGTTGTTGGGCGCAAGAAATTCAACATTCTCCTATGGGTAAGCCTCAGGGCACAAGTATCTGGAAACCAAGACAAAGAAGATGACCGGCCGGAGGACGACTCGGTGTTGATGATGACATCGGGTGGAAATCATCCCAGTTCCCAGAACGATGCCCAGCCCAGATCCTAGATCCCAGATCGATGACCGGAGGACGACGACGATGATTCTAACTCTTCCTCCGACGTCATCATCAACACTGAGTCCTTCGATAGAATCCCCGCCGGAGCATCGCCGCTGGGTGAAATCCCCACCACCCTCCAGCTTTTCCCGGAGAGCACCGACTTCCGATGTCATCTTCCTCGCCTGTCAGTCGGAAGCGGAGGCACCGGCGCCGGCACCGTCGAAATAGCCGACGAAGAGCTGGAACACGATGGTCACTGACAGCCAAAGTTACATTTTAGTACTTGAAGTTTTTAAGAAGATACAAATAGGTCCGGCATCATATGTGGAAAATTATATTTTAAACATTAAAAAATTTCTATTTACATTTTAACACCTAATAAAAAAAACATATACAGCCAGGTCCAATGAGATGGGTACCCAAACCCAATCCATACCCAAAAATAAAATCCAAACTCAACTCCACCTACCCAAACATTATCCAAATCCATATGGAATAAATCTATACCCAACCCATATAAATGGATATAATTGGATTTGGGCAAAAATACGCATGGGTGGATAAACTGCCATCCCTAGATTAGATCTTTCCCAAGATCTCTCAAAGTGTTTCCATCTCTAAAAACTTCCCAAAACCCTACTTGTCTCACTCTAGGTCCACTTTTCCTTCTTTCTCCAGCAGCTCCTCTATTTATAAACTTTGAAAATCTCGGCCAAGTTCACGATTAAAGGTGATAGATCGCGGCCATGAACTGGTCGTGATGCCCGCAATTTAGCAGTTCCATTGCTTAGTCCGGGAAAGGTGGGAGATCTCGCCCTGATGTCGCGACCATGAACTTTGGCACGCAGTCGTGATCTTTCTATCGACTTCAAATAACGGCGACTGCGATCCGCCTAACGAAAATTTATGCTCTCTTCTTTACTCCTCTTGATGAAGTTCACGATTGGGAGGCTTGAGATTGCGGTTGTAATCTTCCTTCTTCTGCCAGCGAACTTGGGCTTGACTTCGCGGGTTGAGTTTCTTGGCCGTGATCATACTCCTTTGGCTGCGAACTTCGTGTTTGCCAGTGGCGGATATAGGGGGTGGCCACCCCGGGACGCGGCCCAGCCCTCCTCTGGATCCGTAGTTAGTATAGTCCTTATGAATTTTTCGATTTTAGGCATTCGGCTTAGTGTGATTTTATAATAAAATTGGGTATAACTAAAAAAATGATTCAGATGACCATATTCAAATCACTACTCTAAATTTAGCCTTTAAATTTTAGCCCCAAAGATTATGCGTATAAAAAAAACAATGAAACCTAAAATTCTAAAAGTTTAAAACGTAAACGACTAAAAGAAATATGAGGTTTGTTCCCTTGAAAAATTACTAGAGCAGTTGGTGGATGCAGGGATTGACACACAATGTCAATTGATTAGTCGATTGATTTGTTTAGCGTTGATGTTGCTCGTTTCAACGGCTACTACGAATAGAACCTTTTCAACAATGAAACATGTGAGAACTGATTTGCTCAACAAAATGAGCGATGTATTTCTCGCCGATTGCTCAAGTATTTTATTTGAAACAGTGTATACTATTGGTATGGATGTAGGCTCCATTATTGATGCATCACTAAATTAAAATACCGTCGTGTACAATTTACATTGGAAAAAAACTATAATCATTATGTTATTTTACTATTCAATTTTCTAATGAAACTCGGCCCGGTGCTCTTCTGTGTTCTGGATCCGCCGCTGGTGTTTGCCCCTTTTTCCTACTCATAATATGACAAAAGGAAGCTTTCTAGGCTACAAATGATGTTATATAGATCTAATCATGCTCAAAATGACATAAACGCACCTATAAATAAAGGGTACATAATACTTTTTTGGGTGTTATCAATAGCCAAGTAAGAAATGAGTCTACTCCATATAAAAAGAAGAATTACAGAAGAGAAGCTGAAAGAAAATATTGAGGTGATGGAATTCGTCTTCTGATGAATAATCTCCAATCCTAGGCTTGATTCCCGTACTCCAATTACGATGAGATCCTCCAAAACAGCTCAAAAAATGATCCCAAGTTGCTCTCTTTAGAGTTCTCCCTCTTATTTTATGTTTGTAAAACTCGGATCCCGTTCTTAGAAATTTGCAGACGCCTTTTAATACCCATCTGTAGCAAAATCATGGTGAGGAATCACGAAAGTGGTTCTCGTGTTCCTGCTTGTGATTCTCCAAAACTTGTTGTTTCACTTATGATCTTTAGGGGGATCACGTTCGTGATTCTTTTGGGAAGTCACCGTCGTGAATCTCAAACATTTGCTCATTATTCTTGTCTTTTAGAAATAGGCTGTTTCACATGCTTATCTCCGTATTATAGAGGGTACAAATTCATAATGCACAAAATTCCTTATAATTTCAAATATTTTCAATACTTAAAGGGATTATTTGGATGAGGAATAGAATAGCTGAGTTGCATCCAAATAAATTCATTGGATCAAATTGTTTTGTTTGGCAACACCAATTGATGAAGGCGGAATCCTGATTATTAATTTTGGGCTCCCCCGTACCCCTGACTCTGAGGCGCGAAGCAAAGAATCTCCATTGCAAAGAACGCAGGTTGCCTCGTAGCGAAACAGCGATATTACGCAAAGGGTTGGAGTGAAAGGGTATGGCGCAGCCGTCCTCCCCAGGAAAATTGTCAGTGGACCTCAAAGACTCCATTGACGAGTTGCTTAAGTTCACTATTCAATCGCATATTAACGGGAACTCTGGATTGGATTTGGGCTTATCGATCGACTTCTGCTCTGCCCTTCTCGATGATGACGATGGAACTTCCCCTGCTGTTTCTGGCACGGCCACCAGTAAGTCTATAAAATATCATCTCCAAGCGCAGAAGTAGGAAGTAATTATGCTTTTCTTTATCTGATTGGACCCTAGGGAGTTCTCAACCTCAAGAAATTTTGAATACGGAGGACCTTTCAAGTTGGGTCTCGCACAGAAAACTGATTCTCGCGAGTGATGGTCAAATTTGTTTCTTTTCTGAAGCTGCAACTGAAGCTTATCTGTTTGTAAAAACATCTGACAGGCAGAGGCAATCGTCCCCCACAGCCTTTATACAAGCTCCTTGCATCAGCTTTATATGGAGATATCATTTCTGAAGACTTTAGTGGGGTATCTCGTGGAGAGGACTCTAAACAGAATGGTGAATGGAGTGCACAAATCGTGGCCGCGGCCACTGAACTGGCAAATGTATGATATCAAATGTCGGTGGTAGTATTTTGGTCCTCATTTTGGAGTTACGCTTTTGTCCATAGAAATTTTCCCATACATTTTTTTCGTTTCTCCTTTCAGATTTTCTCGTCTATAGAGTACGATCTTCATGTTCAGGAGCCATTCTTCACACAGTTAAGAGGTTAGTGAGTCTCTTGATATTTGAATGATTTTTGTGTCCACCAAATGTCTTTCACAATGCTTGTTGCTGTTTCATTCTAGATGGATTGAAAACAGTTGAAGGACGGTGTGCTAGAGGCTTCTACAACCAGTATGGATATTTTCCTCGTGTCATCGGACATTTTATTTCTTGTATGCAGTCCATGTCATTGATATATCTTGCTGACTTCATTTATGTTTCATTTTGTAAATGTACATATCCTGAAGTTTTGTGGTTTCACATATAGCTGTTAGATATCTGTGGACTGCTCCGATCATCATAGTGCATTGTCATTGTACTTGTTCCGTTAAGTTCCATTTTGTTCCTACTTAATATCTATGTGATTGATCATAGAATTCAACCCGGAGCATTGATCCTGTTTAATAAGTGCTTGGTGGTTCGAGTTCAGGTGATGGAAGAAGCTTCATGAAAGTTTACTGTACTTAACCAATCTGTTTTCTTGTATGCCGTCCCTGATGAGCGTTTTTTACTTTGCTGTGTCCACAGGGTGTACAGCGATATACTTCTTTCTCGGAGATGCTTGAAGCAGAGGGCCTTGACAAAGTCCTTCCTGGTCTAGAAAGCATTGATGAAGGTAAAAAACGATTTAGGATGTCACGGACTCCTTGTGAAATCCAATGTTAACTGTTAAATGCATATAACAGTACAAAAGTTTCATTGTCGATTCAGGTGCTAAAGTTTATCGAAGGTTTTATACAGAAGATGAGGAAAGGTCCAATGGTGTGATTGGTGTTCGCATTTCAAGAACAGTCATTCAACCATGCAATTACTTGGCTGAAATTATCTCCGTGAGTCTTCTTAATCATTCACCTAATATTATTGTATGATGCCTGCTGTGACCTAATATATATGATATAACAAAGGGGGAAGGAAAAGGAGACAGCAGATTGGAGGAAGTGGTGTGGGGTGGGTAATGGGAGTCATTGCATCCTTCTTGTTGTTCTCTTCTTCCGTTAGCGTAATCAGTCCGAAAATAGTCACCATGAATGATATAGTGGTTAAGAAGATTGCTTTCACTTGTAGCCCAATGAGTCGGGCAGCTAAGTGTTTGCATTGCAAGCACCAACTGTCCATATAAAAGGAATTAGTTTAACATTTAATATATCTGAATTAGGGACGCCATTTGGGAATTTTTTAGGATTAGAAGAAACTGAAATAGGCTGTTTTGGTTACGGGAAACCATTAGAGGCCTTATTTGATCAGAGGAAAATGACGCTGCTCCATGAATCATGGGTATTCTGTCCTAGGGAAAGGTTACATTGATCAAAGTACGCAATTTACCATGATGGAAAGGTGTTTGACATTCAGGGTACAGGTTTTTAGTTAGTGGGCAAAGACGAATACGTAAGTTGACATGTAGGATACTGATACAAATCAGCTGTAGTAGCAGTTAGCCATCTCCGGATCTTATAAACATATGGATAGCAATGGAGCGGGTTTGCCTAAACCAACCCCATCTTCATTTTCAAATACCCATACCTCATGCGGTGGAAGGTCTTACAAATCCATTCTCATACCCGCGGTTTTCGGATACCCATGGATAATACCCGCCCATCAACTACTCACCATTAATAAAAGAATATGGTGACAAATATGATACTACACGACCAAAATTATGGAACTAATGCATAAGAAGATGAAATTACGGTTTGGTTGTCATCAATTAACACTTTATTTTTTCTTTTAATTACCCTTCATTCTATTGACAGGTTACAATAGACTCCTTATATTTTATGCATAATATCCTTGGTGGGTGGGTTTGGATATAGAGCGGGAGAGTCCAAAACCATACCCGACCCATACCCATAAACTTTTTTGCGGGTTTTACCCATATACACGCTCCCATACCTAGTCAAAATGGGGATTCCCCGCGTTGAATGGGTCTGAGGCGGTCGGGTACTTACGGCCATGGGTTTGATTGCTATTTCTATATAAACACATATCATTTGCATATAGAGAATTTATATTGTTCCTATTCATCATTGATTCTCCGATGACGAGTTTATCTTTGCGGAATCTGACATTCATTATGTTCTTATGCCTTAAATGTTCAATCCAGTGTTTGTGCAGCAGCGGCAAGCTCGAGACCCTTGTGAGTTGTTTAGAACCTTTACAGAGTTAGTGTTGCTTCCACCAAGGCTGAGTGTAAAAGGAGTGCAAAAATTGTGGTCGAAGAAATGTACGGCGCCGTAACTTCAGGCTTCTGCAAAAAATGAGTCTGCAGCAGTTCTATGATGTGCCAACCCAAAGCCCTTCTTACATGTCTTGTTTCTCACGTCGAACCAGAAATGGAAAGAGCTGGAACTAAATTCCAGCTTCCGAGACAGATCAAGAAACTAAAACTTGCCGCAATAGTAATACCTTTCGTATGGTTCTTCTTAATCCTATCCTTCTCTTTTCCCATCCCATGGTGATTGTCTCTTCTTCAATATCAATGACGATCCAGTGTGGCTACCCTGTATGTTCTCCTGGATTTGATAATAGAACGAGGATCTTTCAGTTTGATTCAATTGAACAACCAATACGTTCGTGAAATGCATCTATTTGGAACAACTGGGGACTGAGTTTACTAAATGTCTTTCTCGTGGCAAATCGTATTGCTTGGATTGGATTATTCCTTCTAATTATCGTTAGTTTGATTGCCACTTACATGACTAGCGCAGGGTCCGGCCGTTTGCCGGAATTTTTTTTCGAGAAATATGGTATATAATAATGAATATAATAGATGATTTGAAATACATGAAAATGAAACGATTGTTTTTTATTTTAGTTATGGATATAACATTTTTGAAAGTGATCTAACTATGCATAATGTGTTTAGACCTCCATGAAAAGAGAAAAAAAAATATAATATAAACATTACATATAATTATTGAATGCAAAAAATATAACTAATTGTCATTCATTACTTAATTAACCATATAGTTGAATATTATAGTTGCTTCTCATAATACATACATAATCAACCTTTAGGATAAAAGAAAATGCCTCATATAGCTTAGTATGTCTTTTAAGTTTTTCTCAATAGCGAGCATTCTTTTTCACCACACTGTTGGTAATGAATATGAAGTTGCTTGATTTTAAATATATAAGACATGATGCTAAACTGTCGCTAATAGTTAGTATTGTGTACGGACTTCCCAAATTATACTTAGATCGCAAACATGTCTAGCAACAATATAGTAATTTTCATGCAACAAATATTTTTTCATGAAATAATTCAATAAATAAAAACATATGAAAATAATATTACATGAAATATATGTTACTCATTAAGTTGATGAATGAGCGAGAGTATGAGTAGCATACATTTATTTTTAAAATATAGAAGTTGTGAAGTGTCTTTTTGGTTGCATATGATTGTATATTCTCATTATCGTTAACTGACTTATGCTTTTTTGCAATAGATAGTTCAAAATGTGGCTTAAAACTTTTGTTTCCACCAGTGTAAAAGAATTGTTTGAACCAAACGATTGTAAAATCGTATAAAAAAAAGTTTGCAGTAGAGTATTTTATAGTGAAGTCATAATTTAACTATGGTTCAACCGTTTCATATTGTTAAATATCACCTATCGATTTAGCCTATGATGTGAAGTTTTATGGTCTAACCACCAGTACGTACGATCTTTTTTTTTTTTGGTAAAAATACGTACGATCTTTCAATACAAACTTTAAATAAAAAACCACTAAAATATTGACATTATCAAATATTGCTTATATCTCAGAAATTACAATAATCGTATTAAGGAAAAAATCTTCCAAATGATAATATTGATTTAGGATTTTAAATTGAAATAGAAGAATATGTCAAATATATTGTCATCTCCTAAAATAAATCAAAACTCAACATAATAGGGTCAAGAATATCCACTAATCAAGGGCAATTATTTCACACTACCTCATTTTCATCCTCTTTTAAATGTGTCCTCCCACCCACTATTTGCCTTCATCTTTTTTTTTACCATTTGTTCTTCCAATTCTCTCTCGCAGCTTTGTATCTCACAACTAAGGATGTCAATCCAACCCGTAACCATGGGTACCCTACCCGACCGTAACCGGTCAACGAAGATAATTACCCGCTTTGACGGGTTAAGGGGCGGGTACGGGTAATACCCAGTTTCAAAATAAAGGGTAGGGTACGGGTATGGTAATCGATAATACACGCCCTGTTATACCCGCCCCGCTAACCAAAGGGTTAATTTCCCTAGCCCTAACCCTACCCAGCAGTCGATTTTCCTTGCCCACACACAAGTGATGTGCTTGCTCAGGCTTTTCTTGAAACTTTACTTGCTTGGGATATTGACACAAATGTCTCTAAGATTACCTTGGATAATTGTTTTACTAATGATGCCTTGATGGATGTCATGAAGCATAAGTTAAGCAGTGAGCATTTGATGTGGTCTGGTTCTAATATTGTCTTTGTTGTTTTTGTTTATGTGTGGATTGTTGAAGCGAGAACAAATATGATGTATTGTGTTTTTGTTTTTGTGGAATGTAGAAGCAAGAACAATTATTATGTGTTTGCTGTTTTTATTTGTGTGGATTGTTGAAGCTAGAACAGTTACAAGTATTGAGAATTTTTAATGGACAACAGTATGTATGTGCTATATGTGTATAAGTTCATATTTTAGGATTCGTACCCACGGTTACCTGAATACCCATGGTTACCCGGTGGGTAGGGTATGGTTATATCATTTTCATACCCGGTGGTTATTTGGTCGGGTATTTTAGGAGGCTCTACCCGGCGGGTTAGGAGTTGGTATAGGGTAAACCCGCACCCGACCCTACCCTACCCATTGCCATCCCTACTCACAACTCTCTCCTTTTTCCCTTCCTCTTTCTTCCCACCGCCTGGAATCGAGAGAAGCCTAGAAACAACTCAATTAGTTCTCCAATTTTGCGTTCGACATGCTTCTTCTCCATTCATAGTCGATAGTGTGAATCATAGCACCTGAAACCTGGTGAATAGATGGTCGCTTATTCCTCGATGGAGCAAAGTAGCTTGATAGCTTGTGAATAAACTAATTATTAAAAGTGATAAAAAGCAGAACTCTTAAACCAATCGAATGAGTGTATAGTTAGTTTATAGCTTAAAGCCTTAAACCATTGTATTTATACAAAGAATATTCAGGTTCATCTTCACTTTACATGTATTTGTCGTACAAATTCATTACACATAAAAAATGGTTTTAACCGAAGCCATATCAACTAAATCTTATTTTATGATTATTGGATCCATGTCAGATTAGCAAAAGGTCTAAGGCTATTGGTCAACCGGGCTGAAAATTAGTGCTAATTTAAGAATTATATATCTCTTCCAAAATGTTCAATACTCCAATTCAATATGCAATATCCAATATTCAAACAAATGATATATTAATTTCAACCCTTTCTCAATTTTTTTAGACAACCACCCCCCACCCACACACACAAATTTGCAAAGAAATACCAAATCACAATTTCTTTTTCACTTTACTTGCTTCTAAAGTGAATTTTTAGCTATTAAGTTAATCAAGAATGATTTTATAAATGAATTTTTAGTTGTATACATTGAAAAAGGTTTGAGTCTCAAAATAAACAATGAATGTATTTTATAAACCTTTTAGAATATGAGCCGACACATGTTGATGTGAGAAACTACTCATTAATTCAAATTTTATATGTTATTTTTAGAATATTTTGTTTTATTTTTATCAAATGATGCATTTCTCCATAAAAATACATGTGTAGCCAAAACAAGGATCTTTGTGACAATATAGTACTTTTTGTGACATATCTACACATAATATAAAGATAAATTGTGCACTATGATGAAAAAGAGCTTCCCATAACCACTCTCAGACCACGAAATTGAAAATGAGACTCTCATTTTTCAATTTTATTATTATATTATGTGTAGATTGGGCAAACAAAAAGTATACATGTCACAAAGGTCCATGTTTTTATTACACTTTTGTATTTTGTCTGAACTAAACAACACATACAATTTAATATTAATGTTTGAATTAATACTACTTGAGTTCTTATTTCAAAACTAATATCTTTCTATAAAATATAAATAACTTAAGATAAAATATAAATATAGAAGCATCATCACCAAACATATTCCTAGAGTTTAATCAAAGAAATAGCAGTAAATAAATGTAGTCTGGTTGGTTATAATGCTCTTTCTTCATTCAAGTGACCAAGGTTCGAACTCCTTTTTAATATATAAACATGAGCTGGGTGCAATGACAAAAATGACCTTCCTAGAATCACTCTCAGGCCACGAAATTTGAAATGTGAGAATTCCAACCCATGTTTTGCCTTTATGTATTTTGTAGATTAAATCTGTTCCTACCGTAACTTGACAGAGTAGGGCCTCGGATACTGTTAAAGTATGAGAATTGGAAGAGTTATACCCATTAAGTAAGAATAGGCATCGCGTGCCACTGAACTTTATTATATGTGCATCTGGTACCACTTAAGTTAACTGTTAAGTGCATTCCGTTAAAGTTGATAGAATATTCTTGGAATATTTCGTTTTTTAAATTTTAAAATTGGTATTTCTACTTTTCTTATTGTAAAAAATCATTTGGACTTACAAAAAATATAATTTTTTATTTCGAATCTTTTTTAAAGACTCTGATACCAAACCAATATTTTAAAAAGAAATTTATAATCAATTATCTTTATAAGTATTTTCAATTAGGCAAAATACACTTTCATAGCCACAACTTTCACGTTTGTGACAAATATAGCAACATCTTTCAGTATAGAGAAATTGAAGAATCGAGGATATCCACTGCAATGGGTATCTAGTGTCGTCATTCCTTTGAGGTCTTTCTGGACCAACTCTTGGTAGTGTGACACTTAGCACTCTAGTCTCGTTAGAGCACTAAGTCAGCCTAGCTCGCATTCACTCAAACTCACAAGTATAGAGAAAACTCTAGAGATGGAAACTCTCAATTTTTGGATGAATGAAAAATGAGGGAGAGGGCTGCTTATATATGCATACTCTCCACAAGGTACAATGTATGTTGGTCGTCATAAATGAACGAACCTAGAAGTCCCCCCATACATGAACTAGCCACATACATGAATGATAATTAATATGGTGAATATATGTTCACCTATACATGAATCATAATAAATAGGGAGGATGCATGTGCATGAGTGTATGAATCTAGAGATACATGCATGCACCTACATCCTTCTAGAGAATTCTAGAATTTTCCCATGACATTCTCCCCCACCAAATTCACGACGTCCTTGTCGTAGCGCCTTCTTCGCATCGAAAACATTGTTGGTGAGATAAATATGTGCTACATAGCGAGGCAAGGGTGGTCCTGGCCCTTGCACAAGTTCCGCTCCTCCAAGATGTCGTGCTCTCCTCGCCTTCACTCTCTTGCACCGAGACCATAAGCACCTTGTCCGTCGCATCTTGGGTCTCGCTTTTGCTACCTTGGCTCGCTTAGTCATGCAAGCCTTAAAAGAATCGAGTGTGACTCGTCCCAAATACCACAATAGATTCCTTCCTAAGGTCCGAGTATAAACCTTAGTCGGGTGCAGTACAGGATAAGTATCTATAAATATCAACCCGGGCCTACTTCAGTTATTTGAATCATTATCTAGCAACAAAGTTTTGCTTGAAAAGTTTGCTAATTAAAATAAAATAAGGCAAAGGTAAATGGTTTTGAAAGCTATTTGTGAGAAGGATCGCTCGGGTGTTGCTTCCCCCTAACTACTACCATGATATGTGAATTGAAACGATTGCTATGGGCAAGGTAACCGCAGATGGATGCAAATATGGTCTTAGACCACATTCTTGGTTTCTAAATCGACGTATACATTATAGGTCGTGTCACTCGGCCCTCTCGGTTTAGGCAATCGCTGGTTGACTTACTCCCTCACTCAACTCAAGGGCTGGACGACTTAATCACGCTTAACCAATTTTCTTAATTTAACATTGAGGGTTGCCCTAAATTAAACTAGTTAGGTGTCTTGAAAAGCTAAAGGAAAACCAACTCGATTAAGTCTCCCTTGGAAGGCGGATTTCCCTCTCTAATCTAGGTTAAAGTGGCTAATTAGATTGCTAAGCACCAACATGCACAAACCTAAGGATGCTAAGCACAATTATGCACAATCCCTAGGTTGCTAAGCACCAACATGCACAAATCTAAGGATGCTAAGCACAAAACATGCACAATCCTTAGATTACTAAGCACAAGTGTGCACAATTATGCACAATCCCTAGGTTGCTAAGCACCAACATGCACAAATCTAAGGATGCTAAGCACAAAACATGCACAATCCTTAGATTACTAAGCACAAGCGTGCACAATCACATGAATAATACCTCAATCATTGAATATTTGAATTAAACAATACCCAATGACAATCATTCAATTCACATTACAGAAAATACATGGTAGCTAGTTAGGGTTTCACAACACCCAAGTGTAAAGAAATCTACTCCATGCTAGAAATGGGAGAAACACAAGGAGAAGAGGTAGAAACCATCTTGGGCGAGGCTTTCAATCTTCTTAACCCTTGTGTTGAACTTATCTTGGAGATAATCTTCCCAAATCCCACCTTGGAGCAAAACCCTAGCCTCCTTCTCCTTTAGTTCGTGTTTCTCTCTTTAAAAATCTAAAGAAGGTTTTCTCACACAATGGGCTCTCCCCTCTCTCTTCCTTCCAGCTCATCTTTTAAACAGTGAACGAGCTCATTTCACGGCCTGAGTTCATAGCCGTGAACTCTGAAACGCGTCCGTGAACTCTAGATGGGCGCCGAAACGCACCGCTTTCCTTCCACGGGTTCACGGCCAACAGCTCCTGTTCACGGTCTTAGCGACCATGAACTCAATTAGCGTCAGTAACTTGCATTTTGGTCCTGGACGCCTCAATGTTCACGGCCAACGACTCTTCTTCACGGTCATACAAGATCGTGAACATCCAAGAAAAACCGTGAACTCGCCGTTTTTCACCTCTTCTCCCGGTTTTCGCGCCTTTTCGTCCAACTTTCAACTCTGGGGATGGTTGCACCTGTTAAATCCCGAAACACACTAAAACACAAGAAATCTAGAGTAAAACCACCCTTTTAGGAGCGAAATTGCCACAAACGACTAAGGAAAATGGGGGCAAAACATGTACAGTTAGGCCCGAATCACTCCCCCACACTTAGACGTTTGCTTGTCGCCAAGCAAAACATTTCACACAAGGTAATATTTCAACCTACACAAATATTTTGGGGAAAATTCACAGGGCACAAAGTGGGAATTCTCAATGGCTATTGGCAATCAATACATGGACCGTTGCAAGCAATACCGACATCCACCACAAACGACATTCGAGGCCACCAAAAGTGGGAAAACGAAAAGTTCTCACCTTGTTCGTGGATCAATGCAAGTCTGAACGAAACCACTTATCAACCACAACTAACCATGCATGGAATTCAATTCCAAGGAACAATTGGAAATGCAACAAAGTTCCTCACCGGGGTATGATATGGCATGCGAAACAAGAATGAATCACTCACTCTCAAGACCAGTGGGGTCGAGACCTTTTTGGTGCAAAAGATGTGCACAATCATAGACACTCTGCCCTATCGTCTCAATACCACGACAGTAACCTCTAAATGCTAGAGTTCATGGAATGGTTGTCATCACTAGCTTGTTTGGAGGTCTTAGACACTGGTTCAGATGACTGATAATTGTCTTGGACATGGGGAAAAGCTTTTTAGGTGGTGGTAATCATGACTTGAGGTTCTACATCTTCAACCTAAACCCGAAGGTTCTATGGTTCCGACTAAAAACCCTTCTCCTCAACCAAAGGCCACTAACATCGGACAAAAACCTTATATCTCCCTTCCAAACTATCACCCCTCATGAACTACATTAAAGCACTCTTCCTCGATCAACTCTTGCTAGCACATTAAGATTTGGTAGTGAAGGAGTTCTAGAAAATGTGGGGGGTTTGAATCGCTTGGTTGCCAAGAAACTCCTCCTATAGCATGTACTTTGGTTTTTCGTGGCACTCTCTACTTTATTTACCCCATTTTATTACCTCTTTTTCTTTTCTCTTTTCTTTTCTTTTCTTTTCTTTTTGAGGGGGGGTACAAGAGAGTTAAAACACTTGGCACCTATGCAATTAACGACCCATGCTCTCTTTTTAGAGAACTCACTCTAACACTACACTTCATTTTTCATTCCAAGCAAGAACCGCACACAAACCTCTATGGAACTCAAGAGTGAGAGTTCCGGGACACAAGGACGACTAATGTTTAGACACGAAGAACGGATTGGGGCTCGTTCTATTAACACCATTAAGGTCACAAGGAAGAAGCTCATAACTTAAGAACGACCCTCGAAGTCACAAGGCTAAAGGGGTTGACTAAGGGATGACAAATTAGTGGCACCACCCGCCTCTTTCCTATCTTCTTCTCGTGCGGAATGCCAAGCTTCAACGCTGCATTCGTGTTGAGAAGATCTTTTTGAGCCTTGTTCCATACCAAGTATTTCGTCCTCCCTTTGTATAGTCTCGCCTTTGTGAAGCTTAGACCCAAATCGGTATAAAGAGTTCCTTCCTCTCACTTTGATGAGCCCGTCACCTTTAGGCTGTCCAACTCGGGAGGCTGGCTCTCCACACTTGGAGCCTCCTCTTCACTTGCCGAATAATTGGCTATGAACATGGAGGAAAAATCCCTCCTCATCACACAATCACACACACGATGTGTCTCATCACAAAAGAAGCAAGGTGAAGGAACTAACCATCTTCGCTTACCTCCGTAACCACATGTGATCTCGTCCATAAGGGAGTGTTTCTCATAGCTCCTAACACTTTTGTTTTCATACGCACCAAACTCTTATGACACAACATCGCTTTCGGATGCCTCTTGCTCCTTAGATTGCAAAGCATATGCCCCGGATGCACCAAACTCTTATGTTGGCCATGAAAACTCCATACATTGCTAGGTTGTGCCATGGATGCAACAAACTCTTTGCATGCCTCTTTAGGAGACTCATCTCCCCCTTGAGCCCCACAACCTCTTCGTGCACGCAAGCCAGCTTGGTCCTCAACGTCTCCTTCAATGACTCGGCCCACCTATCCACAAAGTCATGAAATAGAGACGTGTCCCTCTGGGCCTTGATCATACGCTCGTCACCATAAACGGATCCATAAGTCATCTCATCGAGGTTCTTTCTCACTTGATGAGTCACGACCTAGCTCTGATACCACTTGTCACGGACCAACTCTTTGTTGTGCGGCACTTAGCACTCAAGTCTCGTTAGAGCACTAAGTCAGCCTAGCTCGCATTCACTCAAACTCACAAGTATAGAGAAAACTCTAGAGATGGAAACTCTCAATTTTTGGATGAATGAAAAATGAGGGAGAGGGCTGCTTATATAGGCATCCTCTCCATAAGGTACAATGTATGTAGGCCGTCATAAATGAACGAACCTAGAAGTCCCCCCATACATGAACTAGCCCCATACATGAATGATAATTAATATGGTCAATGTATGTTAACCTATACATGAATTATAATAAATAGGGAGGATGCATGTGCATGAGTGCATGAAAATAGAGATACATGCATGCACCTACATCCTTCTAGAGCATTCTAGAATTTTCCCGTGACAGGTCCTCGGAACCCTAAATCAATTTTGGGCGAGCAGAAGGGAGAAGCACGATGGGTCTAATGGGGTATAAGAAGGGATTAGTTTTTTATTTTTAATTATATCTGGTATGTCGTCAACGTCTACATTTTGCTGATTTGTTGCTGACGTAGTAGATGATTTGGATCCTACTCAGCAAATCGTTAGAGAAATTGACGGCCTAACTAACATCGTTATAGTTTGTAACGAAATTGGCTAGATTTGTCATACTACCATCCAAATTCCTGGACATTTTATATATTTCGAAAGATGTGGCTATATTTGTCACACATGTGAAAGTTGTTGCTATGAAAGTGTATTTTGCCTTTCAATTATCATTATGTGTTCGAATAATTGAATTATTCATTGAAGCAAATATATCCTATGAATTTTGTGCCGATATAAATAATCTGAGGATTTTATATTTAGTTCTCTTACATCATGTTGATGTTGTCTAACTTTCCAGATTAAATCTCATTGTAATTCTATAAGATTATATAGATGTTCCATATTAGTTAAATTTACTAATTCTAATTCTCTTCCTATAATCATATTTTATTTTGTAGATCTATTACTGAATGTTGTAGCTTTTATAGTTTACTTATTACTTGGTTACATTCCATCTGGTTTAGCTCTAATTTTTTAATTATTGGAATATGTTTAATTCTTTCTAATAGTGTTTCATTTATCTTTCTTTGGTCTTGATGTATTGATGGTTGATTATATTCTACTTTAACTATTTTAGTGGTGCTTCTAATTGGATTATGGGTTTAAAAAAATCTTCTAATATGATTTTAAATGTTTATTATTATCCATCATCTAGTATATTTATTATTCCTTCTTGATAATCGTATATTACTTTTACTTTTTTTATATGGATGCAAAGCATCTCAGTTTTCATTCAAACCCAGTCAGGGTTCCAAAATTCTCTGACAGTCATACAACGCCAAATGACACAAAACAGGATCTGAAATAGGAATAAAATGAAGATCAAGTGGTAAGGAATGCCCATGGCTTTCCTATGGGTTGGATGGAAAATTAGACGGATGCACCTTTTAGCGACTATAAGGGTACCTAACGCCCTATTCAAACTTAAATGATATGTCTACCCCAAACTCAAACTTAAGTTGTATCCGTGGTATTTTACCCACAGTTTAGTAGAGAACAACACGGTGGCAGAGGCAGGATGTGAAATTATCCATGTGCTCTTTTCGTAATATAAATATATACGATTAATAGTACAAATTGTTCCTTTTATATAGTATTTTCTCAAATCTGGTCCTCTATTATGATTCATATCAAAATTGCCCTTCTACTATTGTTCAATATCAAACTTGTCCTTCTATCAATATTACCTTCCCAATTCCGTTAATCATGGTTGGAACGATCTAAACGCAGTCGAACTCCACCACGCTAAGGTCTCGAAACTCAGTCGGTTTCCCGTACCCGACGCAGTGAACCGCGAGAGTTCTGAAATCACGGGACGGAGTTGGATCGGCAATATCTCGCCACAGTGTGATATGCTCCGCCTCCATGAACTTTTACTCGAAATCGCTATCGCTGAGATTGAAGTTGTCGCGGTGGCCATTGTTGTTGCGGCCGGGATAAATTTAACACTCCAGCCTCCAAGAGTAGTGCCTTAAGAGGAGCTTACGGTTGTGGCTTTGGTTGCAAAGGGAGTTAGTGGGTGGTGGATATGAAAGTTGTGTTTGTGATTAGAGAGAGCTAAGATTGGACATCGAATGGCAGCGAAGGCGGTATTTAGGGGATCAACCTTTTGACTATCTTTTGTTTTCATTTTTCATCAATTGATGATGATATAGCTATCTTCTTTGATTTATGGCTTGACTTCTCTAGTCTCACTCATCGGATGCGGGGAGCTTTTCACCACTGTTCTAATGACTAATTCTGCCGATTTTGGGATTTTGCATTTAGGGTTAACATTTTAGAGTGATGATTTAGGAAATGGGAAAATTTGTTAATGTTGGGCAGGATTGGATATCCAGGTCAATGGCGACAATAATGAAGAATCCATTAGTTCAAAGAATCAGGTAGCAGTAGCTTGACTCACTTCTACTGTCACTCCAGGAATTGGCCAAGTGAAACCACTTCCTAAAGCGTAGTATAGCGGGTTTAGGTTTAAATGTCAACCCGGGTCCTAGATTTGATGACTACTCGGTGAATTCTTGTTATCTAGCAATGAAACTTTAATGCAAGTCTAAACTAACAAACTAACAAAGCAAGTAAACTGTTGTATTCAGGTTAAGAAAGGTCACCCGGATATGGTTCCCCCTAGACTGCAGTTAAGCCGGATTGCAATTACCAAGTTCAATTTCTATGACAGTTATACTGCGGAAGGTTCTTAAACATCCTGAAGTCTTGACTAAAGGTCTTCAGACCGTCTCAATCTGAGTCTCTAGCGGGCGACTAACCTCCACCGGAGTAAAGAAATTGAGGCCTTAACAAACAAAACCTCCACTACCGGAGTGAATCCGGTACAGAATAGTGAGTTGGCTCCTCGACTAAAGTCACCAACTCCCTACCTTCAATCAAGGATGCTCTATCAACCTAGGCAGATATTCTCATTCTAGGTTAAAGCAGAAACAACAGGAATTTGATCAGGATTCATGCCATTCAATCAATCAAACCTCAATTGAATATAATCAAATCATAGAATCAGTACTTGGGTTCATACAATCAAAGCCTAACATACAAATCTAGGGTTCTCCATACCCAGATGAATGGGAGAACTACTCCATGGAGAAAGAAACAAAAGCAGAATCAGACGCGGAATTCATACTGTGAAGGATGGATTCCTGCTCCTAGATGTTGATCGGCACTTCTCCAAGCTCAAACTGGCCTCCAATGGTGATAAAGATCAAGCTAGGGCACTTGGAGACTCTTGTTCGTCGCTTTCTCTCTCTAGGAATCGCTCTATCTCTCTCAAAACTCGAATCCCCTTCTCTTTTGGCTGAAATCTGCTTAAAAGAGCATCAGTGGCCAAAGCACGGTCGAGGGCACGGCCGTGTAATGCCTCAGCCCGCCCGTGCTTTGGCTAGGGTTAATTACACGACCATTGTATTGGGAGAAATACGGCCATGCTTTTGGGAGAACACAGCCATGCTTTGGGTGGACACGGCCGTGCTTTCAGCCCGTGTAATCAGCTCATGTTTGCCAAACTCGAATTAGCTCTCAGCAGTAAAAGCACGGCCAGTGAACACGGCCGTGTTCTGTTTTAGGTGTGCCCGTGTTTTGGCTCCAGCTCGACGAAATGACATCCGAATGCCCCGAAACTCGTGCTTAGCCTTTCCTTTGACGCCTGGGACCTAAAATATGACAAAATAGCACAACCCGACATAAAATAGGCCAAAAATACACGACTATGCCCCTCAAACGGATAAGAACTAGGGGCGCAAATATGTGCAGTTACATCGTATCAAATTCCCCCACACTTAACCGTTTGCTTGTCCCCAAGCAAACCTAACTCAAACCAATGCAACTCTCCAGACCTCTATAGCAACAAACAACCCAGATCGTAGGTAGAGGACTTCCTAGATCATTTAGCAACTTACGAGGTCAACCGACGCACAAGTTATCTCATAGCTTCTTCGGCGAGAGCACTAGTATCGAGTCGGCATCATGGAAAATAGTGAACAGAGGACAAATGAATTGTGGATGAAGAGATTCTCAAAAATAAAGGACCATGGACTCACATTTTTCAAGGTGCTCTATTCTCTTCTTGAAGATGGTTGGAACCCCTTTTCTTTCTGTTTTGCTTGTTTTCTGTTTTTTTTTTCTTTTTTTTTTTTCTTTCAAGGGTCCCGACCTGCTTTTCAGAAAATGGGGCTCCCACCTAGCAGAGGTTTTGCGGGAGCCCAGCTCTTACCGGCCATGCCAGGAGCGGATGTCTCGAGCCTCGTGTGGGGGAAAGACATGTAAGGGGGCTGGAGGTAGTAGGTGGAAATTGGGAACGGATTCCCGTCTCCCCTTACACATTTTCGCCCTATTCGCACGGGAGACGTTATTCTAAAGCGCATTTTCGAGCACCTGTTATTTTCAAAACATGATACAAGAGTCCATGACAGGTAGAGAGTCCACAACACCACACAATTCAAGGGTCCTAAGATCACTAATTCACTCAATCAACCAACACAATATGAAGAAGAAATGAGACTTCTTAAATGCATCAACATCCTCCATAGTGCTACACTACCTCCCTAGGTTGCATATTACTATAAAGATTGTCAATTCAAAGCATACTGAGCAGGCAATTGCACGGAACACGTACTTGGAGCCCTCAAATTTAAAAATTTGGACATTGGACTAGGCTCCAAGCACACAAACAGATCTAATGCAGTCAAAAGATAAACACCCCCCCCCCACACTTAAGATCGACATTGCCCTCAATGGAGAAGAGGGAAGGATAAGGGGAACGATGTTACCGGTGTGCACGGACTACATTAGACTGGAAGCGGACCCGCCGAGTTAAGCGGACTGGGGAGGGACCAGTCTGGAACAAAGCACAGCTAAAGGGGAACAGAAGAGCTCAAACACAATATGTTAGGTGCAATGTCAGCCCAATAAGACATCATCCAAAACAAAAGAAAACAAACCAAAACCAAACTGGTTTACAATCCGACTCAAAACACAAGAAAGAAAGTCAAACCGTGGTGGGGTTGCCTCCCCACAAGCGCTTTTTTACTGTCTTTTAGCT